ATATTTGGCTTTCTTTTCCTATAATACTTTTGCATATAAAAGTGCAAAAGGGAGAAATAATAAAATGCTCTAAATCAGAGGTCAGTAACCCATGGTCCAAGGCCCACACGCAGCTCCTTAACTGGTTTTGTGTGACCTTGAAGATGCAACACACTTCACTGAGGAAAGTTACCTACGAGTCAGAGTTGACAATGTTGATTATAATTATCAATAAATAAGTTTTATATACCTGTATAAATTTATTCATTTACTGATTCTTCTTCTTTCAACATACCAGCTGTATCCCACTGAGGTGGGGTTGCCCAAAAGAAAAAAAACTGAAGTTTCTCCTTTCAAATTTAGTAATATATATAGGAGAAGGGGTTACTAGCCCCTTGCTCCTGGCATTTTAGTCGCCTCTAATGACAAGCATGGCTTACGGAGGAAGAATTTCATTTACTGATTACTGTATGTTAATATTGTGGCTAGTTTTCACTTCGGTTAAATTCAAGGTTGTTAACCCTTTCAGGGTGCCGTAGATCTACGGCTTTATGTTCAGAGTCCAAACCGTAGATCTACGCCAAAATTCTAGCGGCATCAAATTTAGTGCAAAAATGCTGGTAGGCCTACATGTGAGAGAACAGGTCTGTGTGGTGTGTGTGCACCGTAAACAAAAATTCTAGGCGCCTGCATAGCATTGTGGGAATGCCGGCTCAGTTACCTTTGCTCACCATGCCTTGTCACAAGGCAGCTCTCACTCCAAGGAAAATTGGGACTCTCCTCTTCCTATCTGATAGTTCTGACTCTGATGGAAGTGGAAATGAAGACGAATTCTTTGGCTTTGATTAGTTAGTGACCAAAAGGAATGACCAGGATATTGATAATAGTGCAGAAAACCCTGATGCTCCTCATCCTTCTACCTTTGGTGTGGGCACTCCTCAATCACGGTCAGTTGTACCTCATCGCAAGAGAAAACTATTATTTTATCATGGCCAGGCCTCTGACTTCAGTAATGTTGATGATAGTGACGTGGATTGTGATTTTATTGCTCTCGACGATCATTCGAGTAGTGATAGTGAGGAAACATATTCACCAGTGAAGCGTCGGTATATACGCCACCGCATGCGCTCGGGTAGTGTTCCCTATGCAGTGCCCAGGGGACGGAGTAAATCCCGGAGTTCATCCCGTGACCCTACACCAGGAATAGACAGTGAAAGTGAGGATGATGTGGCTGCACTTGGCATGGATAGACCACAGGCATCAGTAGTTGGTGGTAGTGGTGATGGTAATGCCACAGCCATGCGTGACTCACCAGCCCAGGCTGGGACCCATGCTGCTGATTCCTCAGTTCAAGGACAAAGCGGAGCGCCAGCCACCAGCCCACCACAACCACAACTACCATCACAATCAGCCTATGATGTCCAGTATCCACCAATAAACTGTATCTGGGATTGGCAGCAAAATCCCAATTTTGTTCCCAAGCCCCACCATTTTGATGACTCTCAAAGTGGAATTCTACCTACTTGTCCCCTTGGAACCACTGCCAGTGAACTGGAATTTTTTGAATTATTCTTTGACCATCCCTTGATGGAAACTATTGTCAGGGAAAGTAACAAGTATTTTGAGTACACCATGGCAAATACAATGATATTACCACAGTCAAGACTACACCGGTGGAAAAAGACGACTGTTGCAGAAATGTATTTGCTTTTTGCAACAATAATGCTTATGCCTCATGTCTATAAGCATAATACAAAAGCATACTGGTCCACAGATCGGCTAATTTCTACCCCGGACTTCAGTGAAATCATCCTAGTGAACAGGTTTATCTTACTGTTACATATATTGCACTTCTCTGACAAAACCAGGCCTGACAGAAGTGACAGGTTATACAAGATTAGAAATATTTTTATGTATCTGAAAGAAAAGTTCAACAAGTACTTTCATCCATTCAAGAATCTTGTACTTGATGAATCTTTGATTTTGTTCAAAGGTAGACTGTCATTCAAACAGTATATACCGAGCAAGAGGAAACGCTTTGGTATAAAACTGTTTGTACTCTGTGACTGTGACAGTGGCCTGGTATTGGATATTGTTGTATACATGGGAAGTAAAATATTGAAAGATACCAGGATGTTATTGGGTATCTCGGGTGACGTAGTGAGAAGCATGATGGCACCTTCTCTTGGTAAGGCGCATACATTATATACCGATAACTGGTTCAGATATCAAATTGGGGAGGAGGAGTATGGAAGAAGTGAATGTTTTCAGATACTTGGGAGTTGACGTGTCGGCGGATGGATTTATGAAGGATGAGGTTAATCATAGAATTGATGAGGGAAAAAAGGTGAGTGGTGCGTTGAGGTATATGTGGAGTCAAAAAACGTTATCTATGGAGGCAAAGAAGGGAATGTATGAAAGTATAGTAGTACCAACACTCTTATATGGATGTGAAGCTTGGGTGGTAAATGCAGCAGCGAGGAGACGGTTGGAGGCAGTGGAGATGTCCTGTCTAAGGGCAATGTGTGGTGTAAATATTATGCAGAAAATTCGGAGTGTGGAAATTAGGAGAAGGTGTGGAGTTAATAAAAGCATTAGTCAGAGGGCAGAAGAGGGGTTGTTGAGGTGGTTTGGTCATTTAGAGAGAATGGATCAAAGTAGAATGACATGGAAAGCATATAAATCTATAGGGGAAGGAAAGAGGGGTAGGGGTCGTCCTCGAAAGGGTTGGAAAGAGGGGGTAAAGGAGGTTTTGTGGGTGAGGGGCTTGGACTTCCAGCAAGCGTGCATGAGCGTGTTAGATAGGAGTGAATGGAGACGAATGATACTTGGGACCTGACGATCTGTTGGAGTGTGAGCAGGGTAATATTTAGTGAAGGGATTCAGGGAAACCGGTTATATTTCATATAGTCGGACTTGAGTCCTGGAAATGGGAAGTACAATGCCTGCACTTTAAAGGAGGGGTTTGGGATATTGGCAGTTTGGAGGGATATGTTGTGTATCTCTATACGTATATGCTTCTAAACTGTTATATTCTGAGCACCTCTGCAAAAGCAGTGATAATGTGTGAGTGTGGTGAAAGTGTTGAATGATGATGAAAGTATTTTCTTTTTGGGGATTTTCTTTCTTTTTTTTTTGGGTCACCCTGCCTCTGTGGGAGACGGCCGACTTGTTGAAAAAAAAAAAAAAAAAAAAAACTGGTTCAGGGAAACCGGCAGGGGTTCAGGGAAACCGGCAGGCCAGACTTGAGTCCTGGAGATGGGAGGTACAGTGCCTGCACTCTGAAGGAGGGGTGTTAATGTTGCAGTTTAAAAACTGTAGTGTAAAGCACCCTTCTGGCAAGACAGTGATGGAGTGAATGATGGTGAAAGTTTTTCTTTTTCGGGCCAAATGCCTTGGTGGGAATCGGCCAGTGTGATAATAAAAAATAATAATAAAATAAAAAAAATAACTGGTACACAAGCCCTTTACTCAGTGATTTCTTGCGAGTGAACAGGTCAGATGTGTGTGGCACAGTGCATTCTAATCGTAAATATATGCCCAGGTTCAACGCAGGTGCTCGTGGTGATGAGGTGCAGGTGTTTACTGCCGGTGACATCATGGCATTACAGTGGCATGGCAAACGAGATATCACATTGTTGACAACCATTCACCGTAACGAAATGCAAGACAGTGGCAAAGTTGATAGAATGACTAATGAACATATTCGAAAACCAGTGACAGTGATTGATTATACACTAAACATGCGCTTGGTTGACAAATGTGACATGCAGATTGGCTTTGTTGATTGTGTTTGTAAGAGTTACAAGTGGTACATGAAACTTTTCTTCCATCTCATGGACATTTCAATGCTCAATGCATATAATATGTACCAAGTGAAGACTGGCAACAGACCACCGTATAGTGAATTTTGTTGTCTGTTGTCAGACAGCTCATAATGAAATTCCAGGTAACAACACTTGCTATACAAAACTGTCCTCGAACTCCTCAGGATATACTCAAGCGTTTGAGGAGGGAAGGTGATCACTTCATAATACAGCTTCCTGCAACTAAGAAGAAATTTGCTCAGAAGAGATGCAGTGTCTGTGTACAAACAAAATGACGGCAACAAAGACGCAAAGACACTTGGTTTATGTGCAAGGAATGTAAGGTACCTCTGTGCATGGTGCCTTGTTTCAAGGAGTTCCACAAGCTCCAGCAGTTCTAAAAACATGTCCAGTGATTGTAAATATGTAAATATATGATAGAACATTAGTATTATACAAGATTTGTGCATGTTTATTGTAATAAACATGCACAAATTGTGGTAAACAATAATATGATAATAACTTTAGTGCGGTTATTGTGTTCAATGCAGTGAGTTTATATATATACATTATATACAGTATTGGTCTCTCAGGCCCCAAATGTTATTAGGAAAAGAAAAAAATTAGAAAAGAAAAGAAAAAAACTATAAAAAAATGTAAAATTAAGTAATGCGCGTGTGTGGAAATTGTCGATGTTGCTGTCACCCGGTCATTTTGGGTCAATTTCTCGGCACTGTGTCTCGGTAAGTACTGATCAGAATTTTTTTTTGTTTTATTACCTTCACAAAAATATACTCTTTAATTCTGTAAGAAATTTTTTTTTTTTTTTTTTTTTCAAAATTTCTTGGACACTGGGGCACCCCTTCCGATTTTGGCCTTGGACCCTGAAAAGGTTAAATGCTTACCTTGGCATTTCACTTATGCTTTTGAAATATGGCCCATTTACAAATTTTAAACTTAATGTGGACCGTGTGAACAGAAAGGTTGGTGGCCTCTTGCTTTATGTGGATGGGAAGTAATGTTTTATTATCTTTATTGAGATATTTTTGCTACTAGATAATATTGAATCATTGTGTTATTGAACTTCCAGCTGATATTCATCATTTAGTTGCAATAAAAGCTGAAAATTTAGAGTATTATTTTATTATATATTGCTGTTAATGACATCATTTCTATACAAAGGCTGCAAGCTAATTATTCTTTTTTTTTTTTCAGGGGTATATGGTTCTTGGACGAGTGTCTATGCCTGGGGAAGAGCCTACTCCACCACTGTATGGTAAGTAGTGGCAATAAAGTATACCTTTAATTCATTGACATTGCAACATTATGATCCACTGTAAGATGAGTTCTCAAGGGCCAGTGATTGATAAGGAATGCATGGTGAAAAGGCTTATGAGAAAGATCATTTCCTTAAATGCTAAAATGTATAAGATATGGTGTTATGAGGTCAGAGAATAAATGAGTGACATTGCCAAAGCTCTTGGTCTAGTTGTTCCTACAGCGTGTATAGTCAGTTTGCAAGAGGCTAATGCTTAATTGTTGATGCCTATGGCTGTGTTTAGATTGTCTTGTAGTTATGCTGGAGAACATGAAGAGACTTTGTTTGGATTGAGGATCAGAACAAATGCATTATTGAGAAATGGCATGGTGATACTGACAAAGTGTGGAAAAAGACACTTAGAAGGTACAGCTCAGGACATTTATTAAAGGAAACGTTTTTGCCATGAGTGGCTTCTTCAGTAAATTAGGAGTGAAGAAGCCAGCCCATTAGTGGTTTCTTCAGTCCTAATGGACTGAAGAAGTCACTTGTGGCAAACATTTCCTTTAATAAATGTCCTGAACTGTACACAAGTATCTTTCCACACAAGTGCAATATTGGATACAAAGTGCGAGACATTTGGGTGAGTCTCCTTACACTCTTTGCCTCTGTCACCAAGCAGTAAATAGGTACCTGGGTGTTAGTTGACTGTTGTGGGTCACATCCTAGGGAATGGTTGAGTGCTCTGCATCCTACTGAATAAACACACCAATGTGTCCTTGTTTAACCTAGTTTAATGAAGGTCATTGTCATAATGTATGTGAGGCACATTGCTGGCAGTAATAAAGAAAAGCTGTGTACGAAATGGTATATAATACCGACAAGATGAGAGTAAGACACATGTGCAACATCTGGGTATCTTTATTGTAGACGTTTCGCCATCCAGTGGCTTTATCAATACAAATTCTAGGACATAACTTGAAGACAGTAGAACTATGTACAGAAGATGAGGTAATCAGTCCCTCAACCTAGGAGTAGGTGCGAACAGCACCATAGTCGTGGAGATTCTGAAGCAGAAGAAAGAATCCTGGCGCTTATATAGTAACGTCAGGTGTAGCAGACGAGGGCATATTCACTGGGGAATCCCGCCTACCAGTGAATATGCCCTCGTCTGCTACACCTGACGTTACTATATAAGCGCCAGGATTCTTTCTTCTGCTTCAGAATCTCCACGACTATGGTGCTGTTCCCACCTACTCCTAGGTTGAGGGACTGATTACCTCATCTTCTGTACATAGTTCTACTGTCTTCAAGTTATGTCCTAGAATTTGTATTGATAAAGCCACTGGATGGCGAAACGTCTACAATAAAGATACCCAGATGTTGCACATGTGTCTTACTCTCATCATAAAGAAAAGCTGCAAGTGCAGAGCAATCATTTACTGTGATGGCAAAACTCTTGGTAGACTAAAATGTTTCTTCAAATGCAGTATCCCCACGAATATATTGGTAATCTGATTCAGAAGACAAGTAGTTAGAAGACATAAAACAAACACAGGGTGAGTATAAAACTGGGAGTGTTCATTGCTGGTCAAAAGTAATTTGCCAGGTGTATAAGCCATTACAATATGCATAGTAAATTAACTAATTAAGTTGAGTGGTGATGCCACAGCAGCATATAATTATCTTGACATTTTTGGGAAAATAGTTGAAGAAGGTAGCTTTCGCACTGTAGTAAGTAAATGTATGTAGATGAGATGGTTGTCATGGAAGTAGAAGCCGTTAAGGACCTTCATATTCATTGAATAAAATGCTGTGCCATGTTTTAAGGCTGCCAAAGGCTTACACTTTTTGTGAATCACAAATGCAGTGGGAGATTTTAAGCTTAAGCTTATGTTAGCTAATCATTTTGAATTGGCAGGGGCAAACTTAATGCTGAAAAAAAATTCTGCTTATATGGTATTGCTGTATAGAACAATAGCCTCAGCTATCACATTACTTTATCTAAACCTTCAAAACACGAGGACTGAGTGTCATTTCATAAACATACAATTGTTAATTCAACTACTAGATCAATTTTTTATTTCCATATTGAAGGCCTACCATTTAAGAAAAAAAAAATAATCCGCTCTCTATACCTCGCCCTGTGCAGTTGCAGCAGCTCTGACTCTCATCTTTCCAGTCTCCCTACGATCCCTGTTGGGGAGGGGAACTTTTATCTGTCTCCAGGTGACTACTCTTCCACGTTGTCTCATCGTGTGAAGATAAAACCCAAAAGCTCTGTCATCAATGATACCCCAAAGCTTGAACTTGTGGCTACCCTAAAAAGCTGTCTGCAGGTCAAGTTCTCGGGCATTGCGGCAGTGAAAGAAGCCTTCCTCGTTACCTTCATTGATGATGAGGAGGCTGAAAAAGTCCTTGCCCCAAGTGCGGTGAAGACCCTTGACTCATGTGGCTTTGTTATCTCAACCTCTCCCTACTTGAGGGGTAAAAGATCAGTGTTCTTGAAATGTCTTGACAGGATCATCACGGTCCTGTCCACCGAAGAACTCGAGTCTTTCATTGAGGAGCAGAATGTCTGGGCCACGGTGGAAAGTTTCACAAAGATATCCAACACCTCATCAGTGCTTAAAGTCACATTTTTTGACACTATCGCTGCCAGAGCCCTGTCAGACGACCTGGCTATCTCTTATTATTACATCAACCCAAGACAGATTAAGTCAGAATGCTTCAAACAAATATCACCTTGTTGGATTTGCTACTCTTACAACCACTCCACCACCAACTGCCACGTTAAGGATAAGAAGATCTGTTTCACTTGTGGGAATGATGGCCACGACTATTGAACCTGTACCTCCACTACTGCTCCTACTTGCATCAACTGCAAGAATGACCATCACTCACTAGCAGCAAAATGTCCCGTCCAAAAGGAGATCTTATCTAAGAAAATTAAAGAAGACCTAAAGAAAACGACTATAAATTCCCCAACTTACGCTGCTATGACAAAGCTCCAGACGGACACTACTAAGATCCTGCAAGCCATCAACCACCACCACCACCTTCTCTCCACTACCAGACAGTGTTTCCACACAAATTTACCATTTCATGTTGTTTGCTCACATGCAAAACATAGCTGACCCTAGATCCTTCAACAAGACCATTATGAACTCCTTTTTAGTGAACAACATGCCAACTTTCATCTTCCCAGAATGTCCTCCTTCAGAGGATATTCTGAAGTTCACACCAGAAATCACCAGCTTCACAGCACCTGACAACTTGCAGGACTTGATTCTTGAAGAAGACAATTGTATAACTCCAGAACCCACCAATGAGAGGACACCAGTTATTCCCACCAATGAGGAGCTACCATCGACTTCCCCCACCACTTCTACTACTGATGAATCAGTTCCTTCACCTCCACTACATCCACCAAAAGGCAAGAGAGCCAAGACACAACCACCTGAAACTTCACCTCAACCTTCATCAGCGCCTGAAGAAATGGAAGAAGACAGACAAATTAGAACAACTGAACCTGTCACTTTATACACAAATAATCTACTCAGCCAGTTATTACATGCAGCTGCAGCAGCTCATAACATACACCATGGAACTATCAGGTACACTGTTGCTCCTGGTTGTGACCATCACACTGTAACTGCCCTACTTGAAGACCTAGATGCTGACTTCACTCACCTGGTCAAGATTACTCTCTTATCAAAATCTGCATGCAAAAGACTTAAAAACAGCTCCACAACTGGAAAATGAAACTAATATGGACACAGCTATGAAGAAATATCACCCACCAATCACGATGTAACTGCCACCTCTCCTCAAAGTTTTGCCTCCCTATCCATCACGCCAGTTCAAGATGCAACCTGCACAGCTTGCTCCTCATATCTTCTACATCTCTAGCCACTCCTGCTGTATAGTCCTTGTGGCTTAGCGCTTCTTTTTGATTATAATAATAATAATCTAGCCACTCCTGATTCTCCAGTCTATTCTACAAGTGCTCAGCTGCCGGGTTAAGCCCTGGCTCTATTTCTACGACTATGGACACTCCTCTCCGGCGCTATTCTTTGCCTGTCCCATCTTCCTCGCTCATCCCAATGGGGTCTTACCTATACTCTCTTGATTGATTAATTGAGAAAAAAATATTCACCCAATTTGTCAGAGAAATAGATGATGAATAAGGCATCAATTAAAAAAATTTGGTGAGACTACATCATCATAGTCACTACTACCAACATCTTGTAGATGCAAGGAGAAGTTCATTTCCTTCAGCCTTTGAGAATATGTATTCACATTATTTTAAGAGGCAGATTCACATTTCCTGGCTCTGCTCTTGACTCTGGAAACTGTATACAGTATGGTGATTACTTCCTATCACCATGTCTTCTAGTGTACTTCATTTACCACTCTTAGACTGAAAGTACTTGTTAATGTGGTTTACATACATCTTTAACAGCAATTTATGTCTCTTAGGTCCTCCTTGCATTCAGACAGGCTGTCACTATCAACTTTATTCTTGTATATGTTATTGCCATGTTTTAACCCTTTCAGGGTTTCGGCTGTACTAGTATGGCTTACGCACCAAGGTTTTTTACGTACTAGTACGCCTAAATTCTAGCGCCCTCAAATCGAGTGAGAGAAAGCTGGTAGGCCTACATATGAAAGAATGGGTCTATGTGGTCAGTGTGCGTGGTATAAAAAAATCCTGCAGCACACGGTGCATAATAAGAAAAAAAAACTTTGACCGTGTTTTTGGATTAAAACAGCGACTTTGCACTGTATTTTTGTATGGTACTTATTGTTGTATTCTAGTTTTCCTGGTCTCATTTTATAGAATGGAAGACATATTACAGAAATTGAGATGATTTTGACTGGTTTTACAAAGAAAAGTACCTTGAAATTGAGCTCAAAGTAGCAGAAATGTTCGATTTTTACCAAAGTTCAAAAGTAAACAAATCATGCTACGTGTCCAATACACGTCAACTGGTGAGTCTAATATTTTTTCACAAGTGCGCTGATATTATTTATACCATTTCTACACTAATGCAGTAGTCTGCATAACAGTAAATCTTGTATTTTTTTTGTGAGAATAAAAATTCAAAGTGGAAAGCAAAAGAATGTAAGAGGGGCGTGGGGACGTGACTAATGAACAGAGGAAATGTTATTTTAGTGCCAGGAATGTCTTTCTTGTTTATTCTGGACCCAATTCGGAAATTGGCATCTTTTGAAATTTGTGTGAAATTGGCAAAATTGCTAAATTCTGACCACTGTATTGGATAGTTGAAATCGGTAAATGGGTGGTTCCTTGTACTCATTCGATAGAAAAAATGGAGTTCTAGCGAAATAGTTATGATTTTTGTCGACAAGTACACTGGAATTGGCCGAAAATAGGGCTCAAAGTGGGCAAAATCGCCGATACGTAAACATCGTCGAGACCGCTAACTCCGTGAGAGCATAATTCCGTAAGTTTTCCATCAAATTTCATACTTTTGGTGTCATTATGATCGGGAAAAGATTCTCTATCTTTTCATAAGAAATTTTTTTTTTTTTGAAATGTGGCCGACCTTGAGAACAAGTCTCTGGAAGGACCTGTCGACCCTGAAAGGGTTAAAACCCCAGTCCTAGTCTTATAGATTTGTTAGAATAAGTTACTAATGTTTCTCACTTTTGTCCAATCACCTCAGTTCTGCTGCCAACCTCAGTTCAAACATTTGTAGCATCTCTAATTTCATTATATGCTTGATGAAATGTGGGTTCCATTCTGGCATGGTTAGGTTAGGTTAGGTTGTGTATGTTACAATTGAATCTTTGTTAAAGTTCCTGAAAGTTGTTCTTAGCTTAGTTTTTCACATGCTGCTAAAATTATATGGTTCATATATACTTCTGGCAATATGATTGGTGTATGCCTGTGATATTATTGTGACCAGTTTCGAAAGTTTTCTTACTCTCTCAGCCTGGTCTAAGGCCAAGCTTTTCTGTTGATTGACTGTTCATATTAGCAGCCCACTGGTCCACATATCAATCACATTTTAATTTTTCTAGCATTTAGTAGAGGTAGTAATCCAGTTTCCTCTTGAAAATTTCTGTTTTATTCAATATTTCTGAACTCGGCTGATAGCAAGCTGGATAGCTGTGGACCACATTACTGATCCTATTTTTCATTGGGTTTGTTTTACACTTCCTCCGACACTTCTGACTTCAGTATTTGTTATCGGAGTGTGTAGGTTTGAAACTAGGTTTTGGAAAGGGCTGCAAATGCAGTCTTACACAGTGACTTTACGTACATAGATATATTATAGGTACTGTAGTTTGTTTTTATAACACACATGTTTCCTTGTATGTTAAAAGGTTGAACACTAGTACTATTTTCTCCAGGAGAATTATTGTTTGGTTTATTTTTCACACTACTCTGAAATTCCCAATATGAAATATTGATGGAGGTGCACGCCCGCCTGCACATTGAATCTGTCGTGATTGAAAATCGGGAAGCTGAGGAAAGGGGGAGGGGAGAGAGGATTTAGCTAAGGATAAGCAGCCAGAGAAGGGGGAAGCCTGGGCGTGTGCTCGGGTTTCACTTCTGTTGTTGCTGTTACTGTTACTGCTCTTGCTGCTGCTATTTTTGATGTTTCTGCTGTTAGTGCTGTTGTTGCTGCTGCTGGTGATGGTGGTAGCGCTGCTGGCTTCTGGCGGTGGTGCTGGTATCGGTGGTGGTGGTGCAAGTGCTGTTATCAGTGCTGGTCGTGGTGTTGCTAGTGGAGGTAGTAGTGGTGTTGGTGGTGGTGTTACTGGTAGTGGTGCTGCTGCTGTGGGTAGTGAAGGTGGTGGTGATGATGGTAGTGGTGGTGGTGATGGTGGTGATGATGGCTTTGGTGATGATGGCTTTGGTGATGATGGTTTTGGTGGTGGTGACGGTGGTAGTCGCGGTGGTAATGGTGGTGATGGTGGTGGTGGTGATGATGTGGTGGTGGTGATGTGATGGTGGTGGTGATTGTTTTGGTGGTGGTGATGACGGTCTTGTGCTGGCCGTCTTTTTATATTGTTTCTGATGATTCCTCCCTCTTGCTTTCCTTCCCACTTTTCTTCCTTCCCTCATGTCTTCTTCTCCTTCTCCTCCTCTAGAATAGTTCTTTCCAGTCCTCCTCCTCCTCTCCAACTTTTCCTTATTATCTTTTCCTTCTCCTCATCCGTCTCGTTTCTCCTTTCCTTCAATCCTTTCTTCATCTTTTCCTCTCCTAGTCTTTCTTACTCATCCTCTCCTGTCATAAACTCATAGACAGAATCTGAGCTCGCCAAATTTATTTTCTTTACCCCCATGATAGTTCTGGTCCCAGTACTGACTACTGGAGTACCATGATAGTTCTGGTCCCACCACTGACTCCTGGAATACCATGATAGGTCTGGTCCCACCACTGACTGCTGGAGTACCATGATAGTTCTGGTCCCACCACTGGTCCTAGTACTGATTATTGGGGTACCATGGTAGTTCTGGTCCCATCACTGACCCCTGGGATACCATGATAGTTCTGGTCCCACCACTAACCGTTGGGGTACAATATATACATAGTCGTTCTCTGTCAAGGTCGTCGGGTTCAGCGCCTTCCGTCTCCTCATAGTTTATTCTCATTTCTAGAAATAATGGACCTTTTAAAATTGACAATGTGGAGCTGTTCGTCCTTAATGATTGAACCAACATATGTACAAAAATTAGATTCTTTAGGTATGGTGATAGCTAAAGAATGGTGCTGTTCTGTGTACTCATATTGGTAAGTACACACCTGAAACCACATATGTGGTGGTTGCAGGTGTCGAGTCACAGCTCCTGGCCTTTGTGCATGTGTGTGCATATGTACACATGTACACCATATCCCTGTCCGTGACGTGTGGGGGCTGCATCAATGGCTTGTTCTCACCTACAAGGTATTGTTGTTAACGCAGCTACTGGGTATTGATCCTTACTCACATGGCTAGCTGCCGGGTTTTATCCCCCACCCTAACCTGCCCACATCCCTACTGATCTTCCTACCGCACTTGTAGATCGCTGACTCTGAAAAATTGTTAACAAGGGACGAAGACTTGGCCATGTGTTGGAATGCTCGGGGGTGGAGGGGCTGGGGATGTCTTGGTCGAGGGTGGATTGAGTACGCAGTATCGACGGCTCTCACAAGCATCACAGAAAACGCACGCTTCTCTCTCTTGTTGGAAGGACCAGGTGGGACTTAACGAAACATGTCAGTTTTTATTTATAACAGTCGTGCTGGATAATCCCTACGGGTTTAGCTCTCCCCAGGATATTATTATTATTGTTTATAATAATAAAAATGTTTTAAGAGTGAGGAGGACATAACGAAATATTTTTTCTGTACACGATACACAGTTGTTGAAATATTAGGTGACCTTTATTAGTATACTTTGGAAAGTCCACGAGTGCCAAGCGTAATATACATAACATATTTTTGAAGGCACACACTGGTGTTATGTGCGCACACATATACATGTAAGTTGAGTTTAAAATATACATACATGTTGGTTGAGCTTAGAATAAACGTACATATACATATAGGGTGAGCTTAAAATATACGTACATGTAGGTTGAGCTTAAAATAAACGTACGTGTACATGCAGGTTGAACTTAGAATAGACGTACATGTAGGGTGAACTTAGAATAATCCAAGAACTGCGAAAAATGACTTATTTCTGTATAAGTCCATAATTATTTTCATTGAACTATACTACCTACAAAATTTTATTCTAATTTTTAACCAGGAGGGTTAGTAACCCAGGATAACCCTTCCCCCCCCCCCAAAAAAAAAAAGAACTTGTCATCCCAGGATGCGACCCACACCATTCGGCTGACACCCAAGGTACCTACTTACTGTTGGTAACAGGAATAAGAAAACATGTTCAGTGTTGCCACTCGTACTGGGGTCGAACCTAGGTTCTTCATATGCGACCCTATGGCGCTACCACTTGAGCTACAAGCAATCTGAATTTTGTAGGAGATAGCCATAATGAAAAGCAAAAAAAACGGAGACCACTTTTTAGCGATACATGGCAGTTAGAAAGAATAAGACGTTATAAAATTCGTGAATATTGAGTAAAATTGGTCTTGATTACCTGGATAATGTAACAAGAGGCAGATTGATGTTATGCAGCTGGAAGAACGTATACAAAACTAGAGAGTGGTAGTTAAAATCGAGAGGTGTGGATGTAGAAGCGTTGAAGTCTTTGTACCAAGATCCCATGATGTTGCAGTGTCGGTTTTCAAAACCATTCATCACATCTGTCAGACACTGCAACATCATGGGATCTTGGTACAAAGACTTCAACGCTTGCCCAACCTTTATACGACGACCTACTTACACTAGTGGCAGGTCCCACTGTGATCCCGCCTCCTCCTGCTTCAACTCATCTCACCGCAGTATATAAGCCACCTCTCTGGCCCTATGCTGCACTTCCTACAAGAGTGATGGACTGAACACATCGTTTCCAGGTTGAGGGACTGATTACCTCGAACTTCTCCTCTCCTTACCCATTTCTACTTTGTATTGGACTGATGAAACCACTGTGTGACGAAACGTTTCTTCAATAAAGATTCCCATGAGTTGCATAAGTGTCTCAATTCTTCATCCCTCTGTAAGAGAGGTTAGCATTGAGAGAGGCCTCCTATCCTAGCTCTTGATGCTAGTATCAAACCTGTGGTGAACCAGACTCATCATTTACTCTGGGCAGTGTTAATAACGTCAACTTCAGTGAACGCTTATTTCACACTCGTCAAGTGGAGAAATTACTGAAGTAGTTTTATCTACTCTGGGAAAAGGAACTTTTTGTCTTCTCCTCTGAGTAAGCAACTTGTTAGTATACCTCATTAAACGTATGGAAAATGAAGTTAGGTAAAATATTGCTTGATTATAATTCTGAACCAAGATAAAAGAGAATATATATATATATATATATATATATATATATATATATATATATATATATATATATATATATATATATATATATATATATATATATATATGCAATAAGATCACAGTAAACAGGTGATTTCAGAATATGCAAAACAACCACTGTGAAAGAATAGTGAAATTCCAAGTGCTTTCGTGACTACTCACATTATCAAGGAACAATGAAAGTGAAGCATCAAAAGGAAGGTATATAAAGGGTCTAGCCCACACCTCACTATCAGATCCCACAACAAAAGAACACCTGACACGCGAACACTGCAGCAGGCCGGCGGGCCTGCTGGAGTGTTCTCTTTCTTACGAGTCGTGCGTCAGGTGTTCTTTGTTGTGGGATCTGATAGTGAGGTGTGGGCTAGACCCTTTATATACCTTCCTTTTGATGCTTTACTTTCATTGTTCTTTGATAATGTGAGTAGTCACGAAAGCGCTTGAAATTTCACTATTCTTTCACAGTGGTTGTTTTGCATGTGTGTGTGTGTGTGTGTGTGTATATTATATATATATATATATATATATATATATATATATATATATATATATATATATATATATATATATATATATAATTGTGTGTGTGTGTGTGTGTGAGGGGGGTTGAAGAGGGTTGGAATAATTTTAAAAATGTAGTATTAGAATGTGGGGCAGAAATTTGTGGTTATAGGAGGGTGGGTGCAGGAGGAAAGAGGAGTGATTGGTGGAATGATGAAGTAAAGGGTACGATAAAAGAGAAAAAGGTGGCTTATGAAAGATTTTTACAAAGCAGAAGTGTTATAAGAAGAGTAGAGTATATGGAGAGTTAAAGAAAGGCGAAGAGAATGGTGAGAGAGTGCAAAAGGAGAGCATATGATAGAGTAGGAAAGGGACTGTCAAGAAATTTTAATGAAAATAAGAAAAAAAAATTGAGTGAGATAAGTTAAGAAAGCCTAGGGAATAAATGGATTTGTCAGTTAAAAACAGAGTAGGGGAGTTAGTAGATGGGGAGCTGGAGGTATTGGGTAGATGGTGGGAATATTTTGAGGAACTTTTAAATGTCGATAAAGAAAGGGAGGCAGTAATTTCATACACTGGCCAGGGAGGTATGACATCTTTTAGGAGTGAAGAAGAGCAGGATGTGAGTGTGGGGGAGGTGTGTGAGGCATTACATATAATGAAAGGGGTAAAGTAACTGGAACTGACGGGATCATGACAAATGTTAAAAGCCGGGGGGGGGGATATTGTGTTGGAGTGGTTGGTATTTTTTTTTAAAAGTATGAAAGAGGGGAAGGTACCTAGGGATTGGCAGAGAGCATGTATAGTTCCTTTATATAAAGGGAAGGGGGACAAAAGAGATTGTAAAAATTATAGGGGAATAAGTTTACTGAGTATACCAGGAAAAGTGTACAGTAAGGCTATTATTGAAAGAATTAGAGGTAAGACAGAGAGTAGGAGTGCAGATGAGCAAGGAGATTTTAGAGTGCGTAAGGGATGTGTAGATCAAGTGTTTACATTGAAGCTTATATGTGAACAGCATTTAGATTATGGTAGGGAAGTTTTCATTGCATTTATGGATTTATAAAAGGCATGTGATAGTGGATTGGGGAGCAATCTGACAGATGTTGCAAGTATATGGAATAGATAGTAAGTTACTAAAGGCTGTAAAGAGTTTTTATGAGGATAGTGAGGCTTAGTGTGTGTAGGAAAGAGAGATTATTTCCCGGTAAAAGTAGGTCTTAGACAGGGATGTGTAATGTCACCATGGTTATTCATTATATAGATATAGATAGGGGTTGTAAAAGAAGTAAATTCTAGGGTGTTGGGGAGACAGGTGGGATTAAATTATGGGGAATCAAATACAAGATGGGAGTTGACACAGTTACTTTTTGCTGATGATACTGTGCTTATGGGAGATTCTAAAGAAAAGTTGCAAAGGTTAGTGGACGAGTTTGGGAGGGTGTGTAAAGGTAGAAAATTAAAAATAAGCATAGATAAGAGTAAGGTGATGAGGGTATCAAATTATTTAGATAAAGAAAAATTAGATAGTGAAAATTGGAAGAAGTGAATGTTTTCAGTTATTTGGGAGTTGACGTGTCAGCGGATGGGTTTATGAAGGATGAGGTTAACCATTAGAATTGATGAAGGAAAAATGGTGAGTGGTGTGTTGAGGTATCTGTGGAGACAAAAAACATTATCCATGGAGGCAAATCAGGGAATGTACGAAATGTCCTATCTAAGGGCAATGTGTAGTGTATCAACACAGCAAAGATATAGCACTTGTAGTGCGAACCCTCCAGTGGACAAAGCACTCCATCATTCTCAGTGGTTATCTTTGTACACAAGTCTGGAAATCTTTGTGTCTTTACCACCGTGGTTATAGCCGTTTCGCAGTGTACTTATAATTACATTATATATATATATATATATATATATATATATATATATATATATATATATATATATATATATATATATATATATATATATATACATACAATATATATACATACATATATATATATATATATATATATATATATATATATATATATATATATATATATATATATATATATATATATATATATCTGAGATGGGGCTCCCTCGGTTTGTTAATCAACGAATCGTTCCTCACATTGTGAAAGGTATAAGCCCACACAAGGCAATTAATCTCGAGTCTCGACCCTGTTTGATTGTTCTCGAGGTTCCTTCAACTGATTAGTTATACCACGAGACTGGTAACTACCAGCAGATTTTTCCCTTGGCAATGCTATTCTGAAGGACATCATTTCATCAGTGATTATTGGCTCTGTAACATGTTCTCGAAGCTAATAAATGTTCGAGTAAATAAAGCTTATTAGGGACAGTGGTTGTAGCTTGACTCTGTTTCCTTTGTTGCTGGACACCAGAATACACACGTCTAAATTAACCATAATGAAGATAGTGCTAGATCCTTTATCCTATAGGTTTTAATAGTAGGAACTCGCACCATATCAGATATTGAATCCTTGAGTATAGAACACACACACACAGATGCGACATCAGGAACTTCTATGTCAGGCACAGACAAAGGAGATATGCCGTATGCGAAGGCCCTATCAGACCTTATCAGATTGGGAAAACCTGGAGCCACATGGGGGTCCCGAAACATGGAGAGCCAAGATGATGGATGTGGTACTGGAAAACC